ATCCTCAAAGATTGAAATCATACAAAGTGTTTTTCCTGATCACAATGGAAGAAAGTTGGAAATGAATAACAGAAGGGAAACTGTTTTATACACTTAAAATCTGTGCATTTTCTAGATATAATTATATCTTGATTATATACATGCTAAATTTCTGTGTTGGGACTGTGGAAATCATCAATTTCAATCCCCCGCCCACTTGCTAAACATAATGAAACTAAATTGCTGTGGAATTATTCTCTCTTCCCTCTCATCTTAATTCAAATAATACATATTTACCTCTATGCATTTAATAGTCAATCCATTTTCAATTTTATTTTGTAGGGTTTTATATCCATCTTTTATCTCTGCTACTAGCTGGAAAGGTATTTAAAAAATTAAATATCATGTCTTATACATTCCTGTACCAAAGCATTGCACCAAAAACGTATTTGTTTTATTCTATGAACAAATGAGTGATTAAATAAAGTAGTTTTGATCAGAATAAAGCCCAATTTATGAGAAACTCTTTGTGGTTTCCTTTTGAAATTGCTTAGGTGTCTTTAAAATCCATATAATTTTTAAATATCAGTTTAAAATAAAAAATCAATTTTTGAAAAATCAGCCTAAGTGCTTTATGATATGAAAACTTAATTGGTGAAAGAAAGATCCTGGGGAAAATTTGTGAAGAAAACATGCTTTCTATTGTAAATAAGTAAATATACTTCAGGAAACAAAAAGCAAATCCAAAAACAGAATTCATATATTCATTAAAATGATCAGCCAATTTAGAGATAAGATACTTTTTTCCTATCTTTAAAGAAAAGGTTCTGTCCTGACAAAAGACAATATAGACATTTTTTTTTAATTTCATTTATTTGTTTTAATCTTTGTGGACACAGACTAAAATAAAATTCTAAATAAAATTTTGCACTTTTATTTACAAATTATATCCTAAATCCTGTGCTCTTTCCTTTAAAATTCACTCTCAAAATCTTGTCCACTACCACACTTTAATTCTGATTTCTGCAAATGGCTCATAAACATAGACTTTGATCACTATGTAGTCACTTCCCTTAAGGAGTTAGTCAGGCACAATGTTAATTTCTCCTCATAATTCACTTTAATATTTATTTTAAAATATTTATATATGAATTGCTTCTGTAATCTGCAAGCTAAGATCCTTTGCCTTGAGATTTCAACAATGTTGTTAAAGAATATTTGGTGGAATTCTGTATTTATGGAGTTTGAATGTTCACTTTGACTTCCTCTTCCTCCAACCTCCTTCTCTGAAGAAAGCCAAGAGTCAGCATTTGCAATCTGACAAAGCCAGTGCATAGATTTATATGTAGTAAGCTATCCATGGATCTCAAAGGGCAAAAAAAAACATATGGGCCAATGGGACAAAATAGACTGGATATAAGTGTAAGTCAGATTATTCAATGAGTGACATAGGGATGGTTGTTAGGCTTCTGCTGAATACTGGTGACTTTCCATCTTCTTCAGACTAAAATCCAAATTTCTAACAGTCGTCTATAACACTGTACAAGAATCTGGTCTGTAATTAGATCTCCTACCATTCTCTTCCTGGCTCACTTCCAATTTGGCCACAATTGGCTGTTACCAGAAAACTCCAGGTACACTCTGTCTCAAGGCATCAGCAATATGGTTTGGTCTATAACTTATCACTTTTTCCAGGTTTTCTGAGACCTCTTCTTTGTCTGTCTATATTAAGTAGCACACCCAAAAAGGCAACTCTGTCACTCTGCTTACTTATCCCACTCTACTTTTTTCAAATCAGCCATCACAGCCTTATGTTTAGAGAAGGAGCTTGGGATTTGTTTCCACCAATCACACATAAGTTCTAAGGACTAAGGAAGCAAAGGCTCTTGCCACCCCTTCTTCCCCTCTCCATTAGAATAGTGCCTGAGCCATTGTAAATTTTCCTTCTGACTAAGTACCAGGATGAGATAATTACAATTTCACCATGTAATAATGTAAGACTTGAATCTAGGACTAGGGACTTGTTGGGGACAGGATCACTGCCTCCCCAGAATAGGATATAAGTCTCAAAAAAATAGGCAGTTGCCGCAGCTCACAGGGTAAACCTCTGCCTGCGGCGCCAGCACCCTGGATTCTAGTCCCGGATGGGGCACCAGATTCTGTCCCAGTTGCTCCTCTTCCAGTCCAGCTCTCTGCTGTGGCCCAGGAAGGCAGTGGAGGATGGCCCAAGTGCTTGGGCCCTGTACCCGGCTCCTGGCTTCGGATAGGCACGGTGCACCTGCCTTAAGCGGCCATTGGGGGGGGGGGGTGTGAACCAACGGAAGGAAGACCTTTCTCTCTGTCTCTCTCTCTCTCTCTCTCTCTCACTGTCTAACTCTGCCTGTCAAAAAAAATTAGACTGACAGTTTTGTTCGCTAGGTGATCGAGTGAGTCTTCCTTTAAATCAAAGCAAACTGATGTGATATCAGTATCACCACAGAACAATCCAAAATTTTGTTCTGGTCTAGGAGCCAGAAATTTAGGAGATAAAGGCATAGTTGATGAACACAATGTTTTATACTGCTTTTGTCTGTTTCTTTAAAAAAAGATTTATTTGAAAGGAAAAGTGTCAGAAGGTGTGTGTGTGTGTGTGTGTGTATGTGTGTGTGCATGTGTGTGTGTGTGACAGAGAGAGAGAGAGAGAGAATGAGAAACTTCCATCTATTGGTTCCTTCCCCAAATGGCCACAATAGCCAGGTCTGGGCCAGGCTGTAACCAGGAGCCAGAAATTCCATCTGGATCTTCCACATGAGTGGCAGGAACCCAAGTACTTGGACCATCATCTGATACCTTCCCAAGTGCATTAGCAGTAGGCCAGATCGGAGGTGAAGCAGCCAGGAATCCACCTGGAACTCTGATATGGGATGCTGATGTCACAAACAGCAGCTTAACTCACTGACCCACAACACTAGCCCCTCCGTTATTCCACCACTAGCTGACCTTTTGCACCCACAACCTTTAAATCAGTTAGAACTAGAGTCAAATCTTGCAGAGTGACAGGTTTGTCAGATATCTCCAAATCATCATGAGAAAAAGGCAATATAAGGCTTAAAGACTAGAGATGTATGTGTGGTAATGACTGTTTTCCTTTCCCCATTAGAATACATGCTGTAAGAGAGCAGGGTTTTTATCTGAACAGGACACCATCTGATCTCCAGACCCTAAGCTAGGAATGAATCTCTCCTTTTAAGGCCTAATGTCATCAAGGGAAAATCCAATGTTTGTTTCAATACTTGGAGTCTCCTGGTACTTCAGCTACAAGGAAGTAATATTATATATCCATTAGATATATACTAGATATCACATATTCTAGACATTATATGTACATATATACACACATATATTTATATATAATGTACATATATATATAACATATATATGTTTTCTACAAAAGGAAGATTTTGTTTTGTCCACCTCAGTGTCTCAAATTTCTTTTAAAGGAGTGCCAGGATTGGAACTAGCCTCTCTCTGAGTGTTATAAAATGGAATAGCCCCAGTTTCATCACAGAAAAATATTCTTTAAAGATTTATTTATTTATTTATTTATTTGAAAGGCAGAGTTATGGAGAGAGACAGACACAGAGATCTTGCATCGCTGGTTCCACAATGGTGGGAACTGTGCCAGGCCAAAGCCTGGAGCCTGGAATTGCATCCACATTTCCCATGGGTGGCAGGACCCCAAGCACTTTGTCCTTCCCTGGCTTTCCCAGGTGTATTAGCATATGGGATGCACAGGCAGAAGCTTAAGCCACTGTGCCGCAACACTGGTCCCAATCACGAGAACATTAAAGACTATCTTGCCTAGAAGTCAGGCGTGAGAGGGAGATAAATGCCTCCCTATAAATATTGTGCAAGCCCTGTAAAATTGAGAACTTTATATTTTTTATTCCATTACCAGAGCCATGACAAGGCCAAGATTCTTCGAGTGTTAAGAGTGACAAAAGTGCCTAGATCTAAAATCTTAATTTTAAAAATAGCAAAGTGAAAACCACAATACAACAAAAACCTCACTTTCTGTCTCACAACTTATAAAGGTAATCTTATAATGTTCACTCTTAGGAGGAAGTATAAATTAGCAACTTGGGGACAGCAGCATGGCAATGTATAGTAAAATTTCGCAAGACTGTATTCCTTTTTATTGAAAAAATAATAATCATGAATGTGCCAGATTTGCTGCAAGATGATTTATTATAAAATATTACATGATGAAAAATAAAAGTCCCAATATTAAAAAATCAAAAAGGTGCCTAGAATAATAACTAGCCTTTTAAAGTCAATGAGTCCTATTGGTTGATTTTGTTGTTGAAATCTGTTTCCAAGTGGAAAAAAATCCCTAAAACAACAACAAAATAATTTCCAAATGGTTTAAAGTTTATCATCTATATTGAAATATTTAAAAAAATATGTATTAGCTATGGTTATATTTGTAGTAAGTATAAAACATGAATAAGAGTGATAATAAATTAATGATATCATCTGTCTCTTTAAGAAGTGATATGATATCAGGAAAGGTATTTGTTATCTTTACTGTTCTGATTGTTTAAGAACACACGGTCAAGTGTTTGCCCTGCTGCTTAAGATGTTGCCTGAGAAACCTAGATCCCACATCAGAGTGCTTAGAGTAGTCTCAGCTCTGCTCCAGATTCCATCTTCCTGCTAAAGAACACCCTGGGAGGCAGTAGGTGATGGCTCAAGCAGTTAAGTCCCTGTCACACACATGACAGGCCTGGATTGAATTTCTGGCTCCTGGCTTCAGCCTGTCCCAGCCACAGCTATTGAGGGCATTTGGAGAATAAACCTGCAGATGGGAGATCTCTGACTCTCTGCTTTCCAAATAAATCGAAATTTTCAATATATGAAAATCTATATCTAAAGAAATATGCCAAAATGTTGACATTTGTTAATTTATAAACAAATTTTGGACATATCTTTCAAATTTTCTATATTTCATTTTAATATTTTAAAATTAAAAAGACTGCAAAGAGAATTTAAATCACCATTATAGCTGGTGGTTTTATTATGACATTTTCAGAACTGGACAGATCTAGTTGACATAAAATACACAAGGACATAAAGCATCTGAATAATCTGATCAACACACCTGTTAATAGAAACAGCATTGAATTTTGTAGTTCAGAGAGTATATTCCATTTTATCTTTTCTTAAAAAAAGCTGGAATAAGCCAATTACCATTGAAGTATTCAGAAAGCCAATTAAAGATCTATCATTAAAGGTGTTACCAGGATTAGAGTGCTTTACAGCTTTGTATTAGCTAACTTTCAAAGAACCAATGGTTCTAATGCTATTTAAACTATTCCGGACCACAGAAAAAGATTGCAAACTCACCAATTCATACTTTTTAAAGCTAGCACAATCTTAATAATAAAACTTGATAATGACAGTATAAGAAAAGTACAATGTCACTTTGGAATGTAATTTTGCTAATTCTAAATAAAATATTGGTTAAAAAATCCAGCACTGTAGCAAAAAAATGATCATTTCACCGTAATTGAGTAGGATCTATTCCATAAATATAGGTTTGATTCAACATCAAACACCTGTTATTCTAACTCATTGCATCAACAATTTAATCAACAGATGCTGAAAAGATATTTGATGAAACCCAGGAGCTACATCTGACAATAACAGCATTATGTAAAAAAAGAAAGAAGACACTCTGAAATATGTTGAGTTTTTACCAATAACCAATATTACATATCATACTAATAAGGAACACTAAAGACATTTCCATGAAAATTAATAATAGGACAGACATGTCTGTCATCATCATTATGCAACACTGCTTTGGAGAATCCAGGTAATATAATAATCAGTATAAACATTAGAAGAAATAAAATTATATCTATTTGCAGATAAAATGATTGCATATCTAGAAAGTCTACTATATTCCATTTTGAAAAAAAAACTATTGTAATTCAGATGATTAAATAATTCATTAGATAGAAGGTAATAATATAAAAATCTGTTGATTTTCTATATTGCCAAAAATAAGAAGTTACAAATAAGGAAAAATATTCAATTCCTAATGTCAAAGTGTGACAATTGTAATACTTAGAAATGAATTCAATCAAATACGATGGATCTATATGAAGAATATTACAAAAACAAGGCCAAAATATTTCAGTTAGGCACCAAAACTCTTGAGTGTTCAGGATTAATGTTAGTAACTGATCCTCTAATCAGGAATGCAGAAATTTAACACAGTTCTTATTAAGATATCAGACTTTTAATTGTTGAGATAATACTTTCAATTTTCATATGAAAGAATGAATATCTATGGAAAATCATATTTTTAAAAAACTAACAAAGATTTGCTTTACTAGATTGTAAAATCTATGGTCAGTTCTACCTAATTAAATTTTTTGATTTTGGCTCAAGCATTTGAAAATGGCCATTGTAAAATAAATGGTACTGATATCCACTGTGAACAAAATGTAAAGCTGGATCTCTATGTTGTACCACATCCTTGGATAAAAATAAATTTCAGGTAGATGAAACATTTAAGCTCAAAATAATAAAAAAGATTTTTTAAAAAAGTAGTTGAAGACTTGTAGCAGTTGGGGTGGCAGCATCTACCTGAAAAAGAGAGGAAACCAAAATCTATAAAACACATAGTGGTATACCTAATTTTTTTAATTTAAAGTAAAAGATATCATCAATGGTTAAGATCAATGACAGGATATAAAAATCATAACACATATGATCTACAGATGATTAAATGCTATGTAGTAAGAATTCCTACAAATATATAAGGAAAGGATGAAAAATTCAATAGATAAGAAAGAAGTGGCAAATCACAAAACAGAAAGATCTAAATAGAAAATAAAAACAAGCAAATCTCCATTAAAGTCAGACAAAACCCAATCAAAGTAAAATGTAATATCAAATAATTTTCACCTTTCTGATTTTAAAGAATTAAAGAGTGCTGGAGAGTATGCCGGAAATAGGCACTTGATTTATGGATGGTACTCTTGTAATAATTCTTTAACATACACCTACCTAGCATTTCTAGGAACCCAACCTATAGAAATAAAACCACCAAAATATATTGCAGCAGTGCTAAAATGGAGAAAAAAAGAAACAAATAGCCATCAATAATGGAATAGTTAGTTGAATACCTTTTTGATTGAGTACCTTTTCAGTACATCCACATATACTCTATATGCAGTTGCTTATGGAGGGGGGTGGAAATAGGGGAAAGAGAGAGGGAAATGAGTGACAAAGAGACTGTAGCTGCTGATCAGGTGGGATGTCATCTATTTTTCTAGTGAAAAAAGCAAATAAAAGGAAATGCATATGGCTTATCATTTTTAACGAAATTATTACAAAAGATTTTCTGTATGAAGATGGGAAAATATATAGAAGGGTATCTCAAAACTTGTTACCTGGGCAGAACAGAGGAGAGAGATAAGGAAAGGCTTGTTAATGCTGACATAACATTGATTTTTCTTATTCTACTGTTGTATTGTTACAATGCTTGCAAACTTTTTAAAAATTTTTCTAGTAGCACCCAATTTAAATTTTAAATTACAAAAGAAAACAATATCAAAAGTACGGAAATACACTTGGGGCAAAACTGTGGAATTAGTCAATGTAAGATTTCGAGATATAATAAAATTAAGCCACTTTCCTGAATTTGACACCAAAACTTTTCTCAAAGTTCACAAGCAGGCGAAGTCGAAACATTTTACATCTAATGTTTCCACAATTTTTGCAAAGACCACAATGAATTTAGGGAGTTTTGACCAAACCATAGACATAGATGTGAATATCATCATCAAACTTAATAAAATAGACAGATGGCTTGGCCACCACTTGATGGATGAAAATGCCGGTTCTCTTGGATCCGTCATCTTTTGCGTGTTCCACCTGTTTTCCCACGAGACTGTCGACCACCTCCCCGGGCTCCTGTTCTGCGGTGGGGAAATAGTAGTTGGAATCTGGAATGATGCGTAAGTCACCATCTTTGTAGTCATCCAGCAGAGTGTACATATAGAGGACCGGATCTTTCTCGTAGGTTATGTAAAACCAAGTATCCATCACGGGAGCTCGCGCCAGAACCATACCCTTCCACTCATCTTTGGTGCCATGCTCGCCTTCAAACACATGCCCCACTGCCTTGCCAATCAGGGAATCTGCCAGGCGCGAATCGATGCGAGGACTTGGTACTCTCTCAGGAAGAATCTCTAGTGCTAAAACTCTCTTATCTCGATGCAGTTCTAGTCCATACACACTATCTTTGCCATCATATTTAATGATGTAGAGAGTGGGCTTCACGGAAACCTGCTCAAGCACGGTGCCCTTCCACTGCTCCACAGGCTCGTTGCCTTCCTTCCACCCATGTTGAATGCGGCAGCCCACGATGTTCCTACGAGTGAGAAAAGTGGGCTTACGCCGCTGCTTCTTGTGGGTGTGCCTTTTCTTCATCAGGTATGCGGACACGCCATCTACCCCCATCGGAGGGACAGTTGGAGGAGACATGGCTCACGGTTTAAGGGGACTTAGGCAAAGCTGCGGCTTGTTGATTAGTGTGACAAAAAAGTCAACACTATCCAGTGTGAGATTTTTTTTTTTCTCCACCTCAGAGACGGGGTCCGTCCTACCTTCCCCAAGCTAAAGGCTCTCACCAGGGATTGACAGAAACGCTGTAACTCTGACCCTGGGCAGTGGGACAGTTTGCGCCCCTCGACAGTATTTTCCTCTCCTGCCTGGGAGGGGTGACTGCAGCTGTGGCTGCTCCTGCTAGAGATGGCGGGCTGGCGTGCGCTGTCTGCGCCTTGCGCCCTTCCCGGCTCCCAGCCCCAAGTCCCGAATCGGCCACTTAGCTGTTGTTGTCAATGCTGTTGCGGTTGCGGCACGGCGACTGAGGAGACAACGGGGGCAGGCAGTTAACAAGAAGGATGGCTGCGGTGGCAAAGGTGCAAGCGGCAGCACGTCCCTGGAGTCAGCGCGGCCTGGACTTTGCAGAGCTAGTCAGCTTGGCCTCGCTCTGGCGCCGCGGTTTTTGCCGCTTAGGGAACCCGCCCCCTCTGAGCCCGCCTGCACCTCGGCCCCGCCCCCCACCATCCCGCCTTCCGCTCCGCGGACTGGAGCTGGGCGGGTCAAAGCCGGTCAGCTCGCAGGCCCGCGCTCAGTCCGCGCTGGAACAGGCGCGCTCTCCCTCATTTCCTCTTGAGCCCCCTGACCGTTTCTCTGTAGCTCCCTGTAACTGGAGCCAGACAGGCGGACTCCCCTCCTCCTCTCAGGCCGCCTGCTGCACTCCGCCAGCCTCCTCCACAGCGGCTCCATCTGCTTTCTATCTTCCAGGAATTCCTCACAAACCTTTTATTATTATTATTATTATTATTATATTATTATTATTATTCAAAACACAGACTGAGGGCGCAGGAGAGTGAGAGAGAGAGAGCTACAGCAAGGAGGCTAGAGGAAGAGCGCGACAGCAAGAGTGGAGTTTGTACATACAAATTATTTTTACTCAATTTAGGATTTTAGACCAGAGAAGAAAATGCCTGTGTGTAGTCCACCATCTTGATCCAAACGCTTCTTTATATTTTCTACCTGATGATTCTTGGTAATGATTTTAAATTTTTTTCTGAATGTAAAGGAAGTGTACTGATATTGTAGAGATTTTCTAAACCTTAGTGAAATAAAAGGGTAAGTAAATATAAATCTTACCATCTAGACATACACAAAAATGCTAACAATGCTAAATTCTCTCTTCTTAATAAGTCTGTGCTCATATTTTACAACTGCAAGCATATTCTTACTTGTACAGCTTTTTGTTTTCATTTATGCCAGGAGCATTTTCTAATGTGCTTACCTACTCTGAAAACATGTTAAGAATTTCATAATATTCCTTGGTAATACTTCTTTGATAGTCTTTATTTTAAATGGTGCATTACAGAAGAATGGATAGTGAAACTTTACCTTCAAATATGGATTTCTGAAACTTGTCTAAATCGTGTTTTCAAAAGAATATCTAATAACATGGAAATCTGAATATAAAATGGCAATGTTTGGGAAAGCATAATATTGAAACAAAATTATGGACTCAATTTTGGAAAGCAAGAAACAAAGGGATTTCTGTGTGTGTACATATGTATTTTCTATTTTTCTGATTATAAAATTATTGCTTATATGAAAAATCTGAAGGATAGAAAAAGAGTCCATAATTATACTTACCTCAAGAAACAGGATGGTTATGAAAATTAAAAAAATTTTAACATTATATCCTGCTTACAAGATGTCAATAAAAACTTTCTCATTCCTCCACCCTGCACTGGTGTGAAAAGAAGGCTTCATAACATGAGTCTACAAAGGCAATTATTTCATCTGTAGAGGAAGGGAAGAAATCAGAAGTGAGAAAACTGCAAGGCAGCAATGTTGACTGCCTCCACATTTCATTAGCTTCTATGTCAGTGACAGAAAAACCTAGTCCTCTCATCATTTACTTGCTGGTTTGGTAAAATATGTGAAGATCCTCCAGTTGCTCATATTTCCTAGGCCAAGGACTTTGGAGATAGAATCTAATAACTCTCTCCAGTAATCTATCACAAGAAAATAATCCTAGGGAGGCGTGAAAATTAAATATTAATCCCAGGACCAGATTTGAGGCATAAGGAGTGGTCCCACCACCTGTGTTGCCGGGACCCCATATGGGAACCAGTTGGAGTCTTGGCTGCTCTACTTCTGATCCAGCTCCTTGCTAATGTGCCAGGGAAGGCAGCTGAAGATGGCCCAAGTACTTGAGTCCCTGTAGCCACATGGGAGACCCAGAAGAAGATTCTGGTTCCTGGCTTCTGCCTGGCCCAGCTCAGGCCATTGTAGATATTTGGAGAGTATATCAGTGGATGGAGGATGGAATAGTTTATTCTCTCTCTCTCTCTCTCTCTCTCTCTCTCCCCCCCCCCCAATAAATAAATAAATCTTGAATTTTTTTTTTTTAAATTTCCAAGGACTCTTGAGGTGCTGGCATCCCATATGGGCACCAGTTCCAGTCCTGGCTGCTCCACTTCCAAACCAGATCCTTGCTAATATGCCTGGGATAGCAGTGGAAGATGGCCCAAGTACTTGGACCCCTGCCACCCACATGGGAGACTCAGAAGAGGTTGCTGGCTTCTTGCTTCAGATCAGCCCAGTTCCAGCCATTGTGGTCATTTAGAGAGTGAACTTGAGTATGGAAGATCTCTCTCTCTCTTTCTGACTTTAAAATAAATAAATATGAATTTTTAACTCTAGAATGGTGTGATATTGTACACATTTTCACACATATATAAAATCTAGATATGCATAAAGTCAGAAGATGACTATGCATAAATTTCATGCCATTATTAGATTCCACAAAAAAAATTTCCCCAAAATTATTCCACAAAGATGCACAAAGATCTTTGATTTTTAAATTTATTTATAATTAATTAATTTATTTATTGAGTAAACACACAGAGAGACAGAGAGAGATCTCTTCCAGCTGCTTGTTCATTCCCCAAATTCCTGCAAGGCCAGGAGACTAGAACTCCATCCCGATCTCCCATGTAGGTGGAAGGGGCCCAAGCAGTTGTGCCATCTTGCACTGCTTTTCTAGGTACATTGGCAGGAAGCTGAATCTAAACAGAGCAGCCAGGACTTAAACTGGTGCTCCAACATGAGGATGGGGTAGTAGCATGGCAAGCAGCAGCTTAACCCATTGCACTGAAACACCAGCGCAAGCACCATGTTCTTTTGCTTAGAAGAGCAACTAACAAATGAGAGAAGATGATCATCCACAGGGCACAAGGATTCAGGGAAAACGATTTCTTAAGGCCCTTTGGTTATATCCTTCAGATAAATTATTTGTAGCCCCACAAACCAGCCTGAGGAGACAAAGGAGTTCCTAATACCCTTTCTTCTCTGAAATTGTGATTCTAATAATATGAATTCAAAAAGTCTTATATTGATATTGATATAATGCTTACTTTATGTGTCTCCAAGTAAACAAAATTCATTCAAAAAGTGACCTTGACCTTTCATCCAAAGTGCCTTAGAGTAGGTAGTCAGTGTTTGTTAAATGGATAAATGTTTTCAGCTACTCTGTCCCAACCCAAAACAGCTCTCCTCAATGAAACAAGAGGTCTTACACAACCCTCTAAGGACTACAGTCCTTGTGACTCAGAACCTCCTATGGCAGCTTTATCCCTTGAAAACACCCAGGGTACCTTGCTTAGGAAAACTCGCTGAAGATGAAATTAGATATAGGTAAAGCTCTTAGTACACAAACTGACACATTTTTAAGTATTCTGTAGTCTCCTAACAAGTCATTTCCTGAAAGAAGTCATGTTTCTTATCAGGTCTGTCTACAAACCACTTGGCTCTTGTCCCGCCTTTGAACCTTTGTTCTCTTTTACACTCAAATCCTCTTGGTCAGGGTCTGAGTGTGATTCAAGGAGAACAGGATTTTGTATTTTATATCCAATTTTAGAGCAGACTTTCAAATGCTGTAAGTGTATGCAAGTTTGATTTCTGAAAAAATAATACATTATTTCAATAAATTTAAATGATACATGATTATTTATAATTAGAAGGTGGTGGAGGTAGATATAAATGCTTTCAGTACAATGTACAAAGCAGATCATAGTACGTTTTCTAAAAGAGGTGCAAATGAAGTAATGAGAGAGTCAAAGGAGGTATTTATGTTATGACTGAGGATATCAGCAAAGGTAACTTTAAAGGGAGAAACAACAAAAAAGAAGATATTCAAATAATTTCAGAGTAGTGATGTCTTTTTAGTCTAAGAAAAACATCGATAGAGGGAAGGCATAAAGATGAGTGGGCATAGGATATATAACAAATGGTCAGGAACTTCTCATAGCAGAATTTACCATGCTAACTTATAGGGGGTATGGTTTGTGGTGGTGATCAAGGTTATTCAACAGCCTCAAAAACAGATAATTGATTTTCCATTCACTGCTAGTGGAAGGAGATGACATGCCAATTCCCATGACAATATAAAGTTGGCAGTATCAAATGGAGAGCTGTCCTATCATGCTCATTTGAGAGAATCAGGCAGTATTCTAATTCTTTTGACTGATCAACATTGGTAATGCAGAGCAAAGAGCTGATCCTTCCATAACATGGAAAAGCAAGTGCTGCACTGGTTCCTCTGCCATGGTAATGTCAGTGAGATCTAATGGTGAGTTGTTCCTTCACATCCATTTGGTGATGTGAGGTACTGCTAGTGAACATTTTGCTGCAATCCAACTTCCCTTCCATCCCAGAAACCTGATAACAATGAGTGAATAAATTAGAACAAGGTAGAGCTAGTCAGCGCTTTGGTTCCCTAAACCCCTAGTGTCAGTTAAAACTCAGTCAGAAGCTGAGATTCCATCCCCATCCAACAGCAATGACACTAAAAGAAGGGGAACATGATCGGACTAGATGGTACTCAAGTTTCCCTGCACCCTTGTTATCAGTGAAACCCAGTGATTAGATGACCCACCACTCCCGCTTTGAGAAAATCAGGTGGTATGATTCAGTACTCCACTGTCACTGCACAAATGTCAGAAAATCTGAGAAAGGACCTAAACTTCCATCCCATTCATGTTCAATGAGAAGGTCTAATTCACTGTTTCACTATGACAATGGAAGTGCCAGGGGAGCCCAAAGAAGCTGAACAAACATACTCATCCAGCCCTTTAGCTGCATAAATGTACATTAGGGGGAGTGGGTGAATGCTCCAAAAAATTAACAAACAAGAAAGTTAATTATTACAGTCTCATAATAAAAAAATATCAAATAATCAGGACACAATTAAAGAATTTTAAAGCAGTCTTATGAAAATTATTCAAAAATACTTATGAATTTCCCTCAAAAATATCAAAGAAAGCAGAAAAACATTAAAGAAATACATTAAAGAGTAGATATGCTGGACATATCCTAAAAATTTCCATTTTTAGACCAGTGTCTTTAGACAGCCTCTGGGATTGCTCCAATTATCAGATAGAGACCTGACCATGGTGATACAGATTTGTTTTGGCATGCA